GACCTACAACATTTAGAACGAATAAAGATCAGAAGTGATGCCCCCACTTGCGCTTTTCTGATGGACCACGTCATTTTTTCGCGTAACGCCCGAGAAATTACCATTGTTTTCCAAACCTTAAAAGAGTCCTCATCTCCATTTCTACGATCTTTGGCCCAGAAGATCGACAATGGCATTGAGGGCTCAATTTGGAAGCTCAAATTGGACGAGAAGACTCTGTGCTGGAAGTCGCCAGACGCACAAACTATGCCCTCCACACAGTTGCCACCCACAATCGGTGTCGGCGATTTTATGTCCCATGAAACCAGTGTAGCATTCTTGCGGTCGCTTCGCTTGGACCAGCTTCGAGCATTAGAAGTCAATAGGTTTATCGATAAGGAAGAGTGGTCGCTCTTTGGCGATCTTCCGTGTCTTACCGATCTTCGACTGGTTAAAAATGCCCTTGGGTTGCTGTTCTTCTTTTTTTTACGCGGAACGGCGAACGTCGCCCCAGACCCTGACACCCCACCTCTCCGTCCTGCCTTTGCCGCTCTTCAAAAGCTGACAATTGTTCGCTGGAATTTCAAGGCAATCGCCGACAAGAAGAACAGGTCTGTTATCCAGTGTTTAGAACATTGCTTAAAACGTCGCAAGAAAGCTGGGGCACCTCTTCATCACCTTCGATTGGAGCATTGTAGAGGGGTTGAGCAGGATTATCTCGCTCGCCTACGAAAATTGATCGAGCAAGTCGATTGGGATGAGTATTATAGATATGTCCGAACCTCAGAGTCGGAGGACTCGGATTATTATTAACGTTTTGATCATCAAGCCGGAGTATTCAGAGATGCCGTACAGTAATATGGATGCGTTAGTACTAGACTCAGATTGTTAGGCTGAGTTGGAACCACTAGGCTGAGAGACGGAGAAATCGGCGAAACAGGAGTTCCGTCAGGGTAAGAAGCGTGATTTTCCCCTAAAAATCTGAGCGATGCTGTCTTGTTCGCAAGTAAACTTTTCATCAGCTTTGTCCACTTAAGACGCCAGTCTGCAAATTTTAAGCCGAGGTTCATTCTGCTACTCGGACTCTGTTGAGCACATGTGAAGATAGGGGTTTCTTGGTTTCTTGGGATACACAGGACTGTAAAAAACTTTTGCCAGGTGGAAGCCTTGAAGCGAAAAAGAAACATATGTCGATGGTATGAACGAGAATTGCCCAAAAGGCAACGAGCACCAGGCGACATGGCCGAGCGGTCTAAGGCGCTAGAATCAGGATTTCTGGTTAATCTAGTCTTTCGGGGCGTGAGTTCGAATCTCACTGTCGTCACTACTAAATCTCCGTATTGGGTGTGATCATTTTCTAGTTTCACCATTTTATAAGACCGCCTGGAAAGTGATTTTACGCTCGCTTAGATCGCGAACAAGAATACGCAGACATATTCATGCCACAGAGAAACTATATTATACCAATGTGGCTCAATGGCTAGAGCATCGCTTTCCTACTTCTCCTTCAAAGGCGAAGGTTGTGGGTTCGAGTCCCATCATTGGTTCTACACCGTGTAATATGGTACACTGTTTTTTTTTTTTTTTTGCTTTGAGCTTCTCAATCTGCCCCCGCTGCGAAACTTTAGCTTGCACTACAGAGCCTCAGTCAGAGATGGTTTTGTTTATTGTCAACGATATCGATCAATGTGTGTAGATTCAAATATCAGGGCTCGCGAATATTCCCACGAAAGCTGAATTCAAGGCGCGACCAAACGAATTCAAAGAAAGCATTGAAATTAGCTATAGCATTCTGGAACTAGATACTGAAGGACAGTGAGACGGAGCTATACGTTGGAGATCCGGGAGACAGAACAGGAAGCAACAAGATGCACAAGAAAAAAGAGTCGATCACACACACGTCACGCTCTCTTTCCGTCCATCTCCATCCATGGCCAAACCACCGCTTCCAGTCGAAGTCCGCCGCGTACGTACGCTCTTAATCTCTCTTCCTATCATGGTCGCCACAGGATGTACGTCTCTTTCTCCCACTCATTCCGATGCGCACATGTACTGACTCCGGCAGCTAGACGTGCTGTACAACCGTCTTGTGTTGGACGAACCACAGCGCAAGTTGCCCCCACGGCCAAGTGAAGAGGCCTCTGTTAGAGGGAGCGGTACGACCACGGGGACGGGGGCGAACTAGGCAATTCAGCCGGTAGTTTTGAAAATGTACAGGTACGTAATCAGTTGGTCTATGCATCGTATATGACTCCCACCTCTTACTCATCCTTCTCTCATATGACGCAGGCTGTAATTGCCAAGTACATGCGGGTGGTGGAGGGCTTTATTCAGACGATGCAAGCTCGGAGATGAGGGACGCGGGCGGGGCTGAAGGAGCGGTAGCGCCGGCGCCGAAGCCTGCCAAGTTGCTTCAGAAGGGTCCCTCGACGATACGGCGTGCGACGAGAAACCAAACGGAACAATCCGATGCTTATTTTTAGGAAACTTTGATCATTTGTTCTCTTGGAGCTCTCCAAATACAGTGTCCAATGAACTTCAATTCTCAAGAGTCGTCAGTTCTTAGTCCGCGATGTCATTGATGTAGCTATTGCTGTGAAGCCGGGCCCCTTCAAGTTCGAATGCCCCCCATCCTCGCACTTCTTATCCTTCCCTATTCTCAAGATGCCAGACTTGCTGCATACATCGGTCCCTGCATCCTTCCCCGCTACTAGCTTTGGTACTTTGTCATAATTCTTGTGGTTTCTGTTATTTATGAGAGTTCCCTGGCAGGTGGCCGTAACTATGACTACACGAAGATATACAGTCCCGATAAGCCGGGAGACGAAGCAAAAGGAAACGCGCGCGTCTGGAACGTCTACCTCGACGAAGCGGAAAACTACGACGCGGACATGATCCAAGGCTTCCGTACCATCATCGATGGTCTCCTCGTCTTCGTGAGTTCGTCGGCGTGAGGATACGCACAAGCTATTTTGCCTGAATTCTAATTTCGGCAGGCTTCCCTTTTCTCAGCTGTCGTCACCACTTTCGTTGCTCAGACGTCTCAAGCGCTCCAGCCAGATAACGCGCAGATTATAGTTTCCCTCCTCTACGAGAACAACCAATTATTGAGAGCCACGGGAAATAAAACGGGGATCCCCCCAGCATCCCTTGGTCCCGGAAGCCGAACCTACACTTCAATCGATGTATGGGTCAATGGACTATTTTTTACCAGTCTAGCCTTGTCTCTGTCCACCGCTCTTCTGACGGTTTTGGCTAAACAATGGATCCAGGTTCGTACCTCTCAAGTCTCAAGGCCATCTGACATAGGGTGAACAGGCATATACCGCAATTGTTCCTGGCGGTGCGAAAACCCGTGCTATAATCCGCCATTTCCGCTTTCAAGGACTTAAGAAATGGAGACTCGGCGACATCATCGAGAGTCTTCCTCTGATCTTACACGGTTCAGTCGCTATTTTCCTTGTTGGACTAGCTCTCTACGTCTCACAATTGTCGTCCCCAATATGTGCGGTTGTTTCCATCATCACCACTCTTGCCTTTCTCTTCTACCTCGGCACCTCCCTGCTCCCAGCTTTTGATATCGCTTGCCCCTATCGTATCACCTTCATGTTTTCTTTGGCGCAGCCTCTGGTATTCGCCCTCTGTACAGCAAGATACGCTTTATTACACCTATGGTACAGGTTAACTGGTGTACAAAGATTCACAAATTGGCCAAAGATGTCAAGAATGTCTTTGAAAATGGCCGAGCATAGTGGAGTGTTTGTCAACAGTGACAGATTAGTCGGTGTTGCTGGTCGTCTTGCTTGTGACTCCTTGAACTGGGTATTCAACCACTCGTCGAACCACTCACTCAAAGAAGTCGTGATCGAGGGCGCTTGTGGCTTGCTTGATGAATGGCCTTCGAAAATATTCATCTTGAGTCCTTTTGGAGACTCAATTTCAAATTCAGAGCACAACCACCTTTTCATCTCCATGGTCGTGTATTGCATATCCCAGTTACCCGACGTGTCATCAACTTCTATGACAGAGGATGAAGTTGACAGAAGCACATGCGGCAAACTGATCGGAAAGCTCATGAAATTCTTCTCGTCCGAATCCCTCTTAGATGGACATATCACCTATCTAAAGAAAGACTGGGAGGAACAGATCGAAAACGCACTGATAAATGCGTATGAAACTGCAGTTAGCAGGAGGTATCGTGCCTTATCCCGGCGGCTCCTAGACTGGGGTCATCCCAACATGCTCCAATCCGGGCGTGTTAGCCAGGTCTTGTTTCTCTGCGCGAAGCAGGGAGATGGAGAAGACATTCGCGATTTATTGGATCGAGGGATGGAGGTCAACCACCGTGATCCTAACGGCTGGACCCCTCTGCATCACACAGCCTTCTACGGCAATCTGAATGGGGTGATTGCGCTCGTTGAACGAGAGCCGAATCTGATATCCATCCAAGCAAAGCATCCTTTCTCCTCCGAGAAGACGTGTACAGCGCTTGATATCGCAGTTGAGTTTGGTAATCCTGATGTGGTGGCGTATCTTTTGGACCACGGCGCCGACCCACCGAACAATTCTGCCACATTGTCGGGACTGTACAAGTACGACAGTGAACGAACCATACGTCTGGTCGAAGTTTTGCTGGACCGCGGATGGGATAGAACGGCTCAAGATGGAGATGGGAGATCCCCTGCCGATATTGCGCGCAGCAGGGGTCAAAACGCAATCGCTGAACATCTGGAACGTTATCAGACGGTTAGGCTTCCGTATCCGACTTACTCTGAGTCCAAACAAAGAGGAAATATTGTGATGAGTACCGGCGTGTTCGTTATCCGACAGATTCTGGCGAGATGATTGCAGTTAGTTTTACTATAAGCGTGTCATATTCCCTTGAGGCCAGAAGCAAACGTTGACTGTAGGGCACGGCAAAAGGAAGGAAGGCTCAGATCAGATGGGAGATGCACGAGTAGGAGTGGACGGAGCCGTGATAAGCGATCTGGATGAACAGGGAGCAAAGGGCGCGGGCAATCGAACAGAGTTTGTTCGGCGGACTTATCCAAAGGTGATGCGGTCCTATGTGACGGAGGAGTTTATCACATATGTAAATCATACATACTTCATTGAATATTGAGAAGAACTTTGGATTTGGACGATACAAGAGATGAGTATCAATCTTGAAGAACAAGATGAATAGTGCTACGTATGCGCTCTAGGTCATTTACGAGAGCGAAAAGACGAGAAGAAGAAAAGTCTAGATATGACGACGATATTTGAAAGGATGAAAATCCGCTTGAGGGGCACGGGTTGGGCACAGAGGAAGCTTAAGAAGATTTTTGGTGTATAGTCTACATATGGTGTGCTGCTATTGCGAAGGTATAATGCGTTCATTCAAAATCATTGTCAAAATCGCTGACAAAAGAAATGCAACACCCCACCGCTCAGGGACCAATCAGGGACGGTGGTCGATCACAAACGCGTCATCCGAGGGTCTCTTCCCGATCCGTCCGAGCCAGTCTCCCGTCTAGCCTGTGTACTTACATCATGGCCAAACCGCCGCTCTCAGTCGAAGCCTCTTGCTAGTGATCTAACTACCAAGCTGATGTATGTCTGTGTTCTGTGATCCCAGCCTCCCGTCTGTATGACGGCGCCGGCCAACCGTCCCTCTACCAGCTGCAAGCACATAGCGTACGCACGCACTTATCTCCCTCCCGATTATGGTCGCCATGGGATAGATGTCTGCCCCGATTCTTGAACGTCGTACCCTTTCTCTCGACACGCGCATATACTGGTTCGTAGGATACTTAGATAGGCTGTACAAGTGTCTTGTGTCCGAGGAACCACAGCGCAAATTGCCGACACAGCTGGGCTGAGAAGGGACGTGGAAGGGTGCGAATTAGGAATTGAATCTTGGGGGGTAGATGCAGGAAGTCGACGTATGATAGGTATGTAGTCAGTCGGTACGACTTTTCATTATATTGCGCGGTGTGTTTTAAATACGCACGGCGGAAGAAGATGAAGCATGTGACGATGTCGGCGCTGATGCCTACTCCACTGTAAAAGTTAGATGAGGAAGTGTAGGGGAAATGGGGGAGACGTATATCTTGACAAGAAAGTTGGCAAATTTGCGTGGATGCGAGCTGAGAACTTAAGGAAAGGCCAAAAGATATCCACGGCAGTAGTCGTACTGCGACAGTCAGTGTGAGCCCTGAAGGCGATAAACTGAAATACGCACCGTTTGACCGAGAACGGAGGCTTGGGGAGGTAAAGGATCCCGGAAGTTTCGTGACGAGTCTTGTGCAGGTGATAACTTGAACTGTGTCCATGATAACCTTTGATAACAAAGCTGCTAAAAATCGCGGGGTCTGGGAGGGTGCTGGAAATCGTCATGTGCGCAAGGAGTGTCTGTAGATGGGAAATGGGTGAGGTAGACACTTTAAGAAGAACATTAACGGATATGAGAGTGTGATCATGAATGAGAGCTCAACTTGAAGGCCTCACCTCGCATGTATCTTAAATGAGCATTTCTTTCTCAACGAAGTTTGGTGTGTGCGAGCCG